AAAGATAAAATACAAAATACTGCAGAGTAAAATTAAACACCTGAAATAAAATACCAAACAGTACAGACAAGTTGAATAAAGTGTACAGTAACCGGAATAATTACAACCGACTAGCTAAAACTACGTTAAAAACAAAAAAAGAAAGGAAAAGATAGGATACAATAAAATAGACAAATGTTTATAAAAAAAAAAATTAATGAATGAAAGTGCAGAAGAAAACTTGGTGCCGGTTATCATTGTCAGCTAGTGCTACAGCATGCTAATATAGCATTATGCTATTAGCTTAACATAGAATAAGCCAGTTAGCTCGTGCTACAGCATGCTAATATAGCATAACGTTTTTGGCTTAACATAAAGTTAGCTGGTTAGCCAGTGGTACAGCAAGCTGTGCCATAGCGTTATTTATTTAACATAGTCCCCTTTTTAGCTAGTGCTATATCTAGCTAACATAGCATATGATTATTAGCTTAACAGAGTCAGCTAGTTAGCTAGTGCTACAGCAAGTTAATGTATTATAGTGTTATTAGCATAACATAGAGTCAGTTTATTAGCCAGAGCTACAGCAAGATAATATAGAATATTGTTATTAGCTTAACATAAAGGCAGCTAGTTAGCTTGTGATACAGCAAGTGAATATATCATAATGTTATTAGCTTCACATAGAGTTAGTTAGTTAGCTTGTTTAGCAAGCTAATGTAGTATAATGTTTCTAGTGTGACATAACATCAGCTAGTTATCATTTCATACAGAAAATAATATATATATTATGGCTGGTTAGCTTCTGTGTTACTGTATTAGATGATGGTGAACATAATTTATCAGAAATCTAACATTAGCGAGGTTAGCATTGTGAAAATCCTTAAAGCCCACAAGGGCCTTCCTCAATCTGAAGTCCTGCTCTGACATTTTCACATATTACAATTTCATTCAAACTGATGGATAATCCTCCACATGACTCGTGTGTTAGCAGTAAAAATAAAAAGTTATATATTCTTGTAAACAAAAAAATGAAATAAAAGCTTTTTCTGTTGTCAGAATTTTACATCATCTTACCTCTAAACTACTTTTTTGATTTCCTCAGAGCAGTAAACAAGTAAATACTATGTGAGGGTTCGTCAGGTCACTATCATGAAGCAAATGAAACTGG